CCTCAAATAGTGGCTTTCTATGCGTACATGTCAACGACTGAGCCAGCCCCAAGCAGTCATCACCATCTTGTTTTTGACATTGCTAAACTTAATATTGGAAAAGGTTACAACCAGAACTTGGGAACGTTCAATGCTCCGATTCCAGGTGTATATGTCTTTACGTGGACGATATATACGGCAAGTCGAGGACAGACATGGTTTGATCTCTTGGTTAATAATTTGGTATATTGCAGCACATTTGGCGAAACGGATGATACACAGGACTACGACTCCGACTCGGGAATTTTAGTCGTATTGTTGAACCTAGGTGATATTCGTTCTTCTCATCAAGCATCCACCGCAGTAATAAGCAATAATGTTTATCGTGCGAAAACGTCCTTTGCAGGATGGAAATTACATTAAATTAAACTACAACTGCTGTTAGTTAATATGATATTGACCTTACAGAAAATGTATGAAATGAAGAATTGATAAATGGCACCACATTGTTATTGTATAAATGATGTAAACATGTACAGTCGCCAACCAACATGATGCTCTTCTTTCATAAAGGATGAAGGCATAATACACGTCATTTAAACACCTCATCAGAATATTATAGCATATCACAACAAAAGCTCAGCTGAGACTTGGACCTATGGTTGTCCATTTTCAAACAAGGTGAAATTTTATTTTATTGTGTCTTGACTGATTATCTACTCTATTTCTGTTTTCATTTCCAAATGTGTATGTAAATCAATGTCAGAAACATCAAGAAAACTGATTCATCATATAAATAATATGCAATTATACATTAATTTCAACTGGACATTATGATCAACCATGTGTGCTGCTATAAAACACTTTACTTAAAATGGGATAATAAGAACAGTTAATACATTTTCAATAAAAAAAATCTCATGGCCTAAAAGTAGACATGAAAAACGCGTCTATTACCTTTTTTGAGATATATTTACTAAATGACCTACATGGAAATTTGCAAAAATCAGAGTTAGAGTCAAGACTTTGGTTGATGAAAAATCCAAAACCTGTATTATCATCAAACAAACACAGAATTAATCAATATAATCACGTTTATTCAAGACAAAAAGTAAAGTTTTAAAAGGAAAAATTGTAGGTTTTCTCCCATTCAGAATGAGGAGGTGTCCATATGATAACATAAGTAGATAGTAGTAAAAGTAGATGATGACATAAAAAAAAAATTATAAGTGATAAAGATTGAAATAATAGAAAAGAGAATGGATACCGGGAATATGTCAAAGAGACAACAACCCGACCAAAGAGCAGAAAACAACCGAAGACCGCCAACGGGTCTTCAATGCAGCGAGAAAATTCCGCACCCGGAGTCGGGCTTCAGTTGCCCCCTATACAACAATGTATAATTAAGCTAATGAGCAGCTAAATCTGTATAATTTAAATGCATTTCCAGTAGGAGAGACCGATTATACGGTATTAGTTTTTCTCATTGTTGAAGGCCGTACGGTTGCCTATAATTGCTTACATCCACTTCATTTGAATTTTAGTGAATAGTAGTCTCTTTGGCAATCATATCATATCTTATTTTTATAAGGTAAAGCGACATGAATATGAACCCTGATGTGACTAGACCAACACGCTGAGTCGGATTTTGAACGTTCTAGTTCACAAGGTAAAAGGCCGCAGCAAATCCCACGACCTCCCGCACTCTAGACGACCACGCTACCAAGTGACCGCTGATGTGGTCAATTCATTTAATGCATCATAATCATTACTTTAAAATTTTAGTTGGAATTTTTCGAGGTCAGAAAGATTATCAAAAGAGGAAAAAATGTATCGTAAACTTTTCTGAAAATATTTATTTCGTAACTAATGTTAAGTCTCTTTAATATTGAAGAGTTATTCATCTTCCTCTTCACATTTACCGGTCCGTTTTTATTTGACTTATGATTTTTTATTGTCCCGTTTGTATTTTCTCGCCTTATTCTATACCATGTACTATTTTCACTCGATACATAAATATTATTGATTAAACTCTCTGCATTGGAATTTACTGCATGATGTCAAAAGCCAACTCAAAGTATAATAGCATCTAATGAATGGCTTCTATGGAATCTGACCTAAATCTCTTCGAGCTTCCAACTTCGATGCAGTATTGTTAACTAATAAAATGTATTAAGAAAGTTTCAGTTGTACCAATATAGGTAGGATTAAAAAAATGTCTAGACTCGATAGTTATATTGCCTTTCATCATAGTATCTAAACTGAAAATTTCGCTACAATAAAAAAATATTGGTTAAACGCATGCATCAAATAATTTCAGATTTAGTAAAATAATTCATTCTGCCCGAATATTTTGTTCTGTAATTGCAAACTAATGTTTCGCTGGCTTTTTATATACTAATTCATTTGCTGTAAACTTCCTGGTGGTCTAAACACAAATCCAAGATATTTATATTCACGAGTACTTTCTAGTACATGTTCCTTAGACTTAAAATTGTCCTTCTTTATTTCTTTTTCATATTTATAGAACGTTAGAACCTTTAAGTTTAGATTGTTCTTAACTTAATGATTCGTTCCATGTATCACAATGGTTCGTCAACTTTTTGTCTATCCTGCAACATTTATGTCGCGAAAGCAAGACATAGCGATCCTAGATTCTGTCGTCGGCTTCGGCGTCGCGTCGGCGGTGTCAACATTTAGATTCAGTCTGATAAATGGACTTAGTTTTTTTTTTAAAGGTTAGCAATTAGATACAGTCTTAGGTTAAAGTTTTTCAGTCATCAATAACTTTGTCAAACCTTCATGGAATTTTAGGAAATATTAACAGAAGCTTAGTTATGAACAAAAAACAGTATTCAGACCAAATTTTGAAAATACTTATTTTTATTTTTCCGTATTTAAATGATATATGGACTTAGTTTTTTTTTAACAGTTAACAAAAAGATACAGTCTGGGGTTAAAGTTTGTTACTCATCAATTACTTAATCAAACCTTCATAGAATTTAATTAAATTTTGGCAGAAGCTTTTTGACGATTAAGAGATAATGTCTGAAGCAAACTTTTGAAAATATATTTTTTCATTTTCAGTATTTTTCTGATAGATGTACATAGTTTTTTACAGTTAACATTAACAGACAGTCTGGGATTAAACTTGTTTGATATGATAAATTTGTAAACCTTCATTGATTGTTATGAAACTTGGACAGAAGCTAATCTTCAATACCATGGAATAGCATCTAAGAAAAAGTTAGAATTTTGTTTTAAATTCTGTATTTTACTGATAAATGGACTCACTTTTTAAGTCAACATTACACTTTAACACTGACAGCAGCAATCGCAGGCGAGACACAAGATTCAGCGGAACCCCTTGCGAATTTTTTAAAACAATGCTGTAGACCTTTGGCAGATTCTAATATCAAAACAATACCATCTGCATACATAAGACAAGATATTATCTTATGTTGTTGTTAATTGTAGCGGGATCAAAAGTGTTATAAAACAATCTTAACATGAAAGATATTTGAAGAGAATCCTTCATATTGTATGTGCAAATATTGATAAGGCAAGATTTTATTATATTATACATATAAGCACATAGATAATATCTGACTGAAAATATTCAAAAAGTTACTAAATAAATGCATTATGTTGTTAATAGCGATACATCTTGATTACATCTTGCTTCGTCCTCTATTTAGATGAGGGCACCTTATGTCACGCTCAGATACAGAATACTAGTAAGTCGGAACAGTTCCTTGTAAAATCTCAGATCACTGGTTATTCGCGACTGTCCTGACATCATAAACTAAATATTAATTAAAGACGCTGTATAATCTCTAAAATTCCACTTTGTAAGCTTTATAACTTTGATCTAAAGCTAATTTCCCAACAGATATTGATTATTTCGTTTCTGTCTTCTTGTTTTCACTCTGAAGTTTAACTTATTTAAACTCTGAATCTTTGGGGTTTTCAGTCAATTTCTTTCCAGCTGTATTTTTCAACCTATCCCATAGTCTGTTTTTTTGAGAACACATTGCTTTTAATATATACATTTGTGTAGTTGACATGTCATGAAAGTTTGTCGCTTTTGGCCAAATTTAGCCAATTGGTGTTCCTGTAATATTTGAATAAATAAATACCCCTTCCATTGATATAAGTATATTGTTGATGACGGTATTATGACCTCAAGATGACGTTTGGTTATTTATGTTGTTGGGATGCTGTGTCATTGGTATATATCTAACATCTTCGCTTTACATATTTTAGTAGGAAGTACATGAAATTATTATACACTTTATAAATATTCTAAGCACATTACTTGAGAGAAAAGTTTCATATTTGAGACTAGTTTAAAAAAAACCTTTTCTATAAAAAATAGTGGTGTACATTAATCGATTGTCTTTTCATATGGAAGAAAGTGAAATAACAAAAATAACGCACTCCAAGGAAAATTCAAAGCGGAAAGTCCCTCAACAAATGGCATAATCAAAAGCTCAAACACATCAAACGAATGGAAAACAACTGTCATATTCCTGACTTGGTACAGGCATTTCCTTATGTAAAAAATGGTGGATTAAACCTAGTTTATAGCTAGCTAAACCTCTCACTTGTATAAATTTCATTGTATTAGAACGCCATGACTGCCTTATGTTGATGATCGTCATTATATGCAGTGGTCACAGTATTATATGCAGTCATGACAACATTATTTGCACTCGTGACATCATAATATGCAGTGGTCACAGTATTATATGCAGTGGTCACAACATTATATACAGTCGTCACAACATATGCAGTCGTCACAACATTATATGCAGTGGTCACAACGTTATATGCAGTGGTCAGAACATTATATGCCGTGTTCACAACATTATACGTGTTGTGTTGATGAAGGTGATGATCGGTGATGGTGGTTCAAATTCGGTAAACTTCGTAAATTTTATCAGACATTGCCGAATCCGGTCTTAATTGATAATTCCGCGCAAATGAATAGAACAGTTATTGAAGTCAAGTAATTTAATATATTTATATTTATTTATTAAGAAACTACCCCTTTACAACGGGAGCACTTGCAGGCAGGGTACCCACAAATGCGTCTAAGAGCATATACGATGAATAATGTACAATGAAATAGAATACACACAAGACAATATCAGAGATAAAAATTGATACCTTTTAAAACAAGTCATCTTTCATGAAAGACATAACAGCATTATATAAGATAAAATCTCAACATTTAAAGTTCACACCAATCTAATTGCACACGCAAATCACAGTAAGCTTCATTTTCTAAAACCGAAGACCTGTAAGTGTACATTTCACTCAACATCGTTTTACTAAAAATGTCCACATGTTTACTAACATTTGGATCAACATGATAAAAATATTCACCTAGCAATATGTTTATTTTTTCGTAGGACGGTATTCCTGTGAAGCAAAAGTCGGGGAAGTTAGTACTAAGGTACTCATTGATATCGACAAAAGACTTGTTTCGTATTAGGGTATATTCAGAACATTCGAGTACGAAGTGTTCCACGGACTCCTCAGATTTACATGAACACATTTGACAAATGGGAGTCTCGCTCATATTCATTCTATACTGAACTTGATTCACGGGTAAACAGTTTGTTCGTGCTAACAATTTTAACCGTGTAGACTTAAAATCGAGCAAGTTTGACAGATAAGGCTGTCGTACAAAACCCATATTCACTTAAACATGATAATCATTGTTCATATCAATTGCTTGTTTATAAATTAGTAAAATATATTTTCAGTATATTGATGCCGTAATTCAGTTCAAATATAACATGTATTCTTTACACACAGCAAAACTGAAATTCAAGAGTTGTCCCTCTTATTATGACAATAAAAATTGCTCATCGGCATAATGTTGAAGTTTCTATTACCTCTTATGATCCATTCTATTGTAAAATGGGGTTTCTATATAAAAAAATGACACTTCTAAAGTTTGGTCGTCGTTTCAAAAGTGAGGCATTTGCCTCAGTTGCCTCAATTACGCTACGGCCCTGTTTAAAGTGTCTCCATAAAATCATGGAAATTAACAGCTCGTGTTGAATTCTCAGGTGGCAAATACACTGCACAAACATAGAATATATTCGACAAGCATAGTTTATCCTGAAGTTTTATCCATAAAATTCCATCTGTGACATCATCCACCATTTGAATATTAAAGACATCTACAATTTCTTGGCGTATCAGAAATCCGACACCGCCTGATCCATTTCGCACGTATATGAATATTCTTACGGTTATGGCCGTACCATTTATATCCTTTTATATTTATACTATTTAGAATTTATTTAATGTGTTTCACCAATGCCCAATATATCCACATCAAGAGAATTAATACAAGCCACTAAAAGATTATATTTATCAATTCTAAAATCATCATTCCATCCGTTTACATTCCAAAATCCGCATCGAACCTAACTACTATTATAGAGTTTAGTGCTTTTTCATATCCTGTCTTTTTTGTATTGTTATTCTGCATACTTTTCTTAGTCCACTGCACGAGATTTGAAGGGAGAGGATTGAGTGTTGAAACTAGTTAATCCCACCAAATGCTCGCGGAGTCATGAACCTCGTCAATAGTGGTCTTTAGTCATGATACCACAATGTGTTGTCCTTTATAAGTATAAAAAGAAGGAGCTGTGGTATGAATGCCAACGAGACAACTATCCACCAGTGTTCAAATGACGTGGATATTAACTTGTAGGGATGTCAACGAGTACTCGAGTACTCGAGTATCGCTCGGTAATACCGAGTATCGAATACCAAAATGATACTCGAGTAATCGGTTTCCTGTATGAATGTTGTTGCCTTCTTAAAGAAAAAAATATTTTAATTAAAAGCGCCTCCCGGGTAATTAAATATTAATCAAAATTAAAATACGCTTCGATCGTTTTCGTTTAATTATCATTTAAATTTCCCTAGAACAGATGTAGGCTGTGAACAGGAGCACATTTCTATAAGGCTTACACTATAAGGCTTACACTTTTAGCTTATCGTGTCTTAGTCATTCCACCACCTCTCTACCGTCAGAGCAAATATTTTCATCAGAATGACTGTTAGTTACGTAACAAAGTTCAAGAAAAATTTGAAAAGATAATATTTCTTAATAAGAACAAATTCGTTGCACTCAGTATCGACCCTCAGAGAATGGTTAAAGGCGTCAGTAAGTTCTAATCATCACCCCCTTTGTTGATCATTAAATGTGCTTTTTCACGATTCACAAATACTATTGTTTGAGTAAACATTTTTGTATAGATGTTTATTAATTAATTGATTAGATTATTGCCAGTTTACATAATTAGAGGATGTAGTAATTAAGTATTAATTAATGTATAAAATTCCTGGGACTACTATCTAGTCCTAAGTAATAATGTTGAGGGTTTTACGTCCATAAGACAACGACCCACAATAAGTAAAATGGGACTAATTTTGTGTTTCCATTTGTAGATGTTTTTTCCGAGCGAGTACTCGAGTATCGCTCGGTAAATCTAACAAGTACTTGATTAGTAAATCTTCACCGAGTTGACATCCCTAATATTAAGCATTTATAGGTCATCGCACGGCCTTCAAAAATGATTAACCCCATCTCGTATAGTCGGCTATAAAACGCGCCGACATGAAAAATGTGAAACAATTCAAACGAGAAATTATTTGGATGTTGATGACAGATATTTGATATTTTCTGTAATATTTATTTTCTTCTTTGTAGACTCGAGGACGATTCATATTTCAGGGCTTGTGTTTCCTATCACGATTTACTTGATAGAGGGTTGCTGCTCACAAGGAAGCTATTAAAGCAAGTGTTCAAAGTGGTGAAATTGAAATCACTTCGTAAATGTTTTGGACGCCATCACGAGTTGGTTGACCGTTATGGAATATTTGTTTCACAGATGACGACAGATATGTTCCAATTGTCGTAACTACAATCTAGTCACCTTTCTCCCGAATGTGACGTACCGAATTAGACATATCAACGGGTTTGTACTAACATGAGCAACACGACGGGTGTCATATGTGGAACAGGATCTGCTTACCCTTCCAGAGCACATGAGACCACCCATAGTTTTTGTTGGGGTTCGTGTTGCTCAGTCTTTGGTTTTCTTTGTTGTTTTGTGTACTGTTGTTTGTCTTTTTGCCTTTTTTTTTAGCCATGGCGTTGTCAGTTTATTTTCGAATTATGAGTTTTAATGCACGTCCCTTTGGCATCCTTTGCCTCTCTTTCTCTTGACATGCTTGTATTTAATACACACTCGTCTATTGTTGCAAATGATATGCTGACTTGCAGATGTCTTTGTATTATTGAGTCGTTGGGTTGCTGTCTTATTGACGTTTACCAATATCTCCTCTTGTTTATTTTTATTTATATTTATTACCTGATGTACTAACAGAACCATCCCAAGTTACTATGGTAGACGTTGCATATCCCATCTGGACATAATAAAAGACAGGATTTCTTCCATTGCATGAATAACTTGTGATTTCTAACCTTGTTACAGCAGGAGCTGGTCCTCCTTTAGTTGCATGCCATAAAGACATCGAAAGAATAAGAATTGATACTAATTCCTACAAAAAGTTGACCAAATTCAGATACAGTATTTGCAAAACATAATATTAATGGAAGTTTGCAATATCCTAGCATCTCTAAAGGAAATCGAATCGATTCAGACAATTTGATTCGACAAGGATTTAATAATGCATATAAATAAATAATAATATATTATAATGCATATAATTTCAATGTTTTGGAAATAGAGGAATATTATGTAGGTAGGATCAGAAAAAAAAACTTTGTTCTTCTGCATGAAGCACATCAACCGATCACTGAAGCAAAGTTAATGCAATGGGTGTTAGTATTTATAGCTCGAACTCTCCAGTTCTTAATGTCCAATAACGTCTTCGTATGTCAAAGTTCTCGATAGTGAAAAAAAGCCGATAAAAACCTTCTTTTAGGCTTTCACTAGAAATCGTGTTACTTTAGGCTAGCTCTTTATCTTAACGTTGTTTAAGACAATCCCAAAGTCATCCGTACTCTAAGTACTCTAACTCATTTTCCGACATGTCCGTAAACGTTTTCCTTCTTTGATTTAGTCAAGCGATTAATAATTTAGTCACAATCTCTCGAGCGTTTTCAATCTTGCATGTTGCCACTTGTTTATAAAGCCAGCTAATTTTCATAACCCAGACATTTTTTTAACAGAGTAACATACTTTAGTTTCTCGCGTTCCTGGTGCTCTTAGGGGATAGCAAATTGTAAGAAGGTCGAAGAAAAAGCACCGACAAGAAGACAATTTTATGGTGAAGGAATTTTCACGACAAAGCTAGTTTTTAACCTAAAGTTGAATTTATTGTGTGTGTACATGTATGTGTGTGTTTTTGTTTTATGTTTGGTGCTTGGTCACTGACAGGTTTTTAAAAAGGTTGTAACTAAGTAATGCTATATGGATCCAGAGGGGCGCTAGTTATTTTAGAAACTTGACAAGATAGTTCAATAGATATAAGAAGATGTGGTATAAGTGCCAATGAGACAACTCTCCATCCAAGTAACAATTTGTAAAAGTAAACCATTATAGGTCAAAGTACGGCCTTCAACACGGAGCCTTGGCTCACACCGAACAGCAAGCTATAAAGGGCCCCAAAAATTACTAGTGTAAAACCATTCAAACAGGAAAACCAACGGTCTAATCTATATAAAAAATTCGTAAGGGTTCCGCGGAACCCAGTGTCTCGCCTACTTTTGCTGTTAATCGCAGGCTCAACAAAAATGAGGAAAAAAATTAATAACAATATTCCTTTCGATACAATCTTTTGATTGTAAGAAGCTTCTGTCCAAGTTTGGTAAAAATCCAGGATAGTTTATGAATCTAATAAATGTTTTAAATCTTTAACTGCAGACTGTATGTTATGTTAACTGGAAGAAAAACTAAGTCCATTTATAAGTAAAATACGGATAAACAGGTACAAAATTTTAACAAAGTTTCCTTCTAGATACTAGCTTTTGATCATAAACAAGCTTCTGACCAAGTTTGGTACAAATCCAGGATAGTTTAAGAAAGTTTTTAATTTTTAAAAACTTTAACCACAGAGTGAATGTAATGTTAACTGGCAGAAAAACTAAGTCCATTTATAAGTTAAATACGGAAAAAATGGAATTTTGTTTTTTACAAATTTACTTCTGGATACTATCTTATGATCATAAACAACTTCTGTCCATGTTTGGTAGAAATCCAGGCTAGTTTAAGAAAGTTATTAAAATTTTAAAAACTTTAACCACAGAGTGAATGTAATGTTTCCTGGCAGAAAAAACTAAGTCCATTTATAAGTAAAATACGGAAAAACAAGATTTTTTTTTTACAAAATTTAATTCTGGATACTATCTCAGTATGATCATAAACAAGCTTCTTTCCAAGTTTGGTAGAAATCCAGGATAGTTTAAGAAAGTTATTAAAATTTCAACTGAAAACTTTAACCACAGAGTGAATATTTGTGGACCGCCGACGACGACGACGACGACGACGCCGACGGAATGTAGGATCGCTATGTCTCGCTTTTTCGACAAAAGTCGAAGGCTCGACAAAAACGAAAAGCGAGAAACACGTATGAACCACATCAACAAACGACAACCACTGAACATTAGGTTTCTGACTTAGGACAGGTGCAAACAAATGCAGCAGGTTTAAACGTTTTAATAGGCCCCAAACTTCACCTTAACCTGAAACAATAGTGTAACATCACAACAAACAAAGACACACTATAAAATATCAATTGAAATGGCTTAACTCAATCAAAAGACATATTAACAAAAACAAGTGAACATACACTGAACGAATAAATTTGATCTATGACACAATGTAAATACAAAATTAATTAAAAAAAAAGGGGTGAGATGTAAAACAATATCAGAAAGACAACCATAACCTTGGACAAAATGCCGCCAAATAAAATAACGTACACAGGTAAATAAAAATAATTTTGTTGTAAGGTATACATGGAGTACGGAAATATTTATTACAAAATAAATAATTTTGTTGTTCATAGTACGAGAACAGAGGTGAAAATTTATCGTCATACCAAATACTTATAAAAGATGGTATATATTAAAAATAGTAAGACGAGATATAACACTAAATAAGTAAAGTTAACATTAAATAACAAAACTGCATTACACATTGTATAAACAGGTCAAATTAACATGAAAGTACGATTTGGGAATACTCGCAGTTACTGAAAGCTAGTTAAAAGCCAAAAACAATTAATAATAAAAAAATCATGCATCAGAGACTAAAATCAACTAAAACACATCCCAGGGATTTAGTGTTTTAACGTCATGGACAGTCAAAGAAGACATGACTTGTGCAATGCCAAAATAAAAGTATCGACAGGCAGTAGGAGAATTAGGAGTTAACATTTTAATAAATATGTATAATGTTATATATAGATAGAGTAATCTCTATATAGAAAATGAACGTGGATGTGTATTTATACATCCCAAGAAACCGTTTGAAAAGAATACAAATTTAGTTATGTCTTAATTTGCTGATGACAAAATCGATATTTGTTAAAGTATGTTACCTCCTGGAAATAAACGATCCAACTGCATACAATCCTTTTTGTATTCTCGCTGCATTATAGTCCTTTGCGTTGATGCGGTGTAAAGCAAGCACCAATCAATTCACGTATACACAATAGCTACTTAAAATATAATTTGCCAAACAAATATAAAATTTAAAACAATGTTTCCTTATAAAACCAAATAACTGTCTAAAAAATATAATTATCTACACCGGTAACAACAGAAAGTTCGCGTTAGTCAAACATGTCTAGGTCATTCATTTATAGATTGAAAAATATCCCAATTACTCAAGTGAGGGAAGAAAGGTGAATAATATATTAACCAAAGACCCCTAAAACAACCATGATTGTTTAAAAGAAACGATTATCACTTAAAAGAAAAAAATTATTTATTGCTTTTTTTATTCTTTGGAAATTAAGATTAGTTAAGAGTGGTTAGATATTTTGTGATGTCTTTTCATCTCAAAATATCTACCCACTCATACTCATAAAATGTTTAATAGTTATAATAATAGTATATATGAATAAAGTATACGAATTAGTACACATAAATCGTCCCAAAAAAGAATTTACGGGATATACAAATATATGTGCAGTATTATAACCAGATAATTTTGCCAACTACATAACGAAAAGTCAACTATACATAACAATAATTACTGACATGTTACATGTATGTAGTGAACTGCTGGGAGTTGGGAAGCATTCGCATGTAATTTTTTGGTGAAATATCTCAATTCTTATACTACTTATAGGAACTTTTGAATTATCATAGGAAATAATGCATAGTATTCATCTACTATGTGCAAATGTATGCTTCGTGTTGTCACGTGACATGATTTATAACATACTATTGGAAGATTCCTGTTTGATAAATTAAGAAATTATTATTAAGAAACTAAGGTTCGAACTCGCTCAGGTTCTTTCAGTTGTTCTAAGATGCATTTGGCTATATTTCTAAATCAATTTTGATCATATTAAAGCTCCTAACATTTATACGTATTCATGCGTCCCTGGTTTTAAAGTTTACGTTTGAGCGTCCCTCAGGCAAAGTTGTTATTAGATGAATTAATTTATTTTAGGTCTATTTGATCATAGAGACCTTACATTTCTACGTATTCATACATCCCTGGATTTCAAAAGTTTAGATTTTAGCGTCCTGAGAAAGGTAAATCCAAAAAAGAACGGAAGCACTAAATTTATTAAGTGTTTATTTTTATTTGATACGTTTTACGGTTAATACTTCTAAATGAAAAAGTTTAACTGCGTTTTAAGCACGTTCCAATGAGCTAAAATATATTCCAAATGTAAATGCTATTTCAACAACCATATTTGACTGCTTTTGAAATACGTTTACACTAATTGTTTCAAGACAAATCTTTATTTACTGAATGACGAGTTTTCCTAAGGAAGACTTCTGTATGTACTTATTTCTATAAAAAAAAATTAAGATATGTAATAACACATATTTCTTTTTAATATTTGTACATGTGATCAGAATGTAGTCGTCAAATATGATGCCCTGTGAAGGGAGAATTTCAACTCCTTTAGAAGGTCTGTAGGTGGTCTATTGTAAGTGACAGTCTTACTTCCCGCACTTCCTCACGGTCGAACAAATTTACAAAAGCAAAACATTGTTTTAATTCATAATGTGTTCTCGTCTTAATTATGCATGAAATAAGCACAATAAATAAATCATTCTATTCTTGTAAAAAAACTTACCACTCTCCGACTCCACTTGAAACAATCAACAGCTGTTGCTATAAATGGTTCAATATTTTGATTTGTTGATGTTCGAAAGGGAAGGGATCATATTTCGTACATGGATCAGATTTTACATAACATGTTGAAAAATCAATGCTTCGTTAGAAATTTTTAAAAAGATATTTATTTTCCATGAAGTACTTTAAGTAGAAACAAATCCAAATCTGAGACTGGAAAGGTAAAATATTTAATGTAAGCATCATTGTTTTTTATTCTTCCAAAAAATACATTTAGTTTTGCTTACCTGGTTTTACTTAATTAATCTACACCATCGACGATCAATGGGTTCTGGTTTTATTTAAGGTACGGAATTATCGTCCACCTTCTAAAATTCGCAAGAAATAAAATGTCAAAAGTCATCTACAAATCTCTTTCTTTTTTATTGTAAATCTTTCAGCACTATATTGAAAAAGCTGTGACGCAAATTTTGGTACTTTCAAACCTACCACTTATAATGCAGACATTTTAATATATTATAGAAAAACACATTTCAATGACGACAAAACTGACAAGAGCTCTTACAACTGTTAAAGGGGCATTACCTACCAATTCGACAAAGAAAAATTACGATTTTTTTTTTTTTGCAAACATTTATAAAAGAGGAGTAAAGGGATAATATTTCGCCATTAGCAGTCAGTTTTTTTCAATTTCGTCAAAATCAGCTTTAAAAAAAACATTTATGTATTATTGATATGCAAGTCAATAATTCAACCCATTTAAATCCGTATGCATGCAACATTTAGTTTGAGATTTATGCGCATGTATTCAGCATGTGGTGATCAGCATGTTTATTCAATAAAAAGAAAAGTATGTCAACATTGAAAAGTGAAACAAGGGAGAGTCAGACACTAGGAATAACCATTATGTGAATGATCAGACCCACAAAAAATAATCGTTCGTATGCAGGTAAAACGATAATTCACAAATATTTTTAACCTATAACATGAAATCAAACAGACCTTCCGACAGCTGAGTGTAACAGGATCTGTAGAACTTACAGTTTTTCTTCTTTCTAAGGTTATACAATCGCCAATATAAAAATAAGGAGATGAGGTATGATTGCCAATGAGACAACATCCACCAAAGTTCAAATAAAGTGGATGTAAGCAATTATAGGCAACCGTACGGCCTTCAACAATGAGAAAACCCCATACCGTATAGTCGGATATAAAAGGCTCCGACATGAAAAATATGAAACAATTCAATTGAGAAAACTAACGGCCGAATTTGTAACAAAACAATAAACTAAAAACATATACTATTATGACAGACATGAACCAACGAAAACCACTGAACTTCAGGCTCCTGACTTGGGACAGGCACATAAAGAATGTGGCGGGGTTAAACATGTTTGTGAACGCTCAACTTTCCCATAATCTGGGACAGTGGTGTAACAGCACAACACCAGAACAAACTATAAAAATCAGTTGAAAAAGGCTCAACTCATCAGATCGATACAAAGCAGAAAAACATCAAACAGACTGGACGTGGCATGGTATTTATCCATCCCTCATCCATAACAACAAAAAGGACACTGAGTACGTGACAGATCAGAGAGTACTCGCAGTTACTGACAGCTGGTTTAAAGCCAATAGCAACTAATAAAAAAATCCTGTATCAATCGGTACACATCCAACATCCAATGGATTTAGTGTAAACACGTCATTAACAGTCAGAGAAAAACATGACCTTGTGCAATGCCTAAATAAAATTATCGACAGATTGTAGTACCTTCAAAGTGCATTTGTGTATGACAAAACTATTTCGTATGATTTTGATTTACTGATATCAAAATCAATATTTGTATCAAAAAAACAATATTCAAAGATCTAATTAGTGTTGAATTTGTAACCTTTTAGAATAAGTTTATTTAAAGGATTGATAAGTTTAACCGGATCGTATATAACTTTCCGGGCTCGGTAAATAACATCACCGTAAAATTTAGGATGTGATATTCCGTCTGAAATAAGTTTTTTACAGGTACAGCCAAACTTGCAAACCAAATCTTTGTATATATATGGAAAAATTTAGTAAAGGTTTTAAATAATTTGTGATAACGAAATCTCTGACTTAATAATTTACCAGTAATACATAGATTACGCTCAGTGAAATCCAAAACGTCACTACAGACACGGGCATAACGAACGAGTTGGGATATATAAACACCTTAAGATGGTGCCAGAGGAACATCACCGTCCAAAAAAGGAAACTTAACAATAGGGAAAGAAAAATCATCTCTTTTGTCGTAAAATTTTGTGTAGAGTTTCTTGTGTAAAACTGAAATATCTATGTCTAGGAAAGGACACTTATTGCTGTTAATATTTGATTTATTTAAAGTAAGTTGCTGTGGGTAATTTTCGGCAGTATAATTAGAGTATTCTTGATTATTTAACGAAAAAATATCATCAAGATAACGGTAAGTTTTGTTGAATTTATCAATTAAATGGAATTTAGACGGGTCTTTACTGAGTTGTGCCATAAACTGTGATTGATAATAGTACAGGAACAAGTCTGCTATTAAAGAGGCACAATTGGTGCCCATAGGAATACCTACAATTTGTCGATAAACTTTATTGCCGAAACGTACATACATGTTGTCAAGGAGAAAATTTATGACTGTTATCATCACATTACACCTCCAGTAAGTATATCTAGCATATTTACCTTTCTCGTTTGAGAAAAAGGCTTTATATGAGTTGCAGCAAATAAATTTGCAATTAGATTTATCGAACGACCATTTAATTAACTAGGAAAACTTTTGTTTGATAAGATTATGTGGAAGTGTAGTGCAAGGAGGTTATATGAGTCTCATATAACCTTCTTGTGTAGTGTAGAGAGTGGAAAAGTCAAAACTGTCAACCGAATCAAAAGGACCATCACAAGCACGTTATTTATCTAAAACATCCAAAGAATTTTTTACACTCCAAAAATGGTTAATTCCACTTTTTTCATATGTTTTATTACAAAAATTTATGATCAGTTCTTTGATAGTAGTTAAGGAACTCGTTAAAAGCACTGAAATTCAAGTAGTAGAATACTAAACTAGAGTTGTTGTCTGTCTTTGATAGTCAATTTGTAAGGAAAATTGCATATGTTCAATTCTGGCATCAAACTAAAGAGTGTAATACTAGGAAAACGCGCGAACCAAATTCTATTGATAAAGGTAATATTTGAGAAATTAATGAACACTATGCAGTATGAGTTTTACTCATTGTTGAAGGCCGTTCGGTGACCTATATGTAGTTGCTAACTTATACGTCATTTTGTCTCTGGTGGAGAGTTGTCTCATTGTCAATCATGATTGTATCACATCTTCTAAGGTTTATATATACATATTTACCATATAAAAAGGGAGAAAGTAATATCTTGTAATGTACATACTTTTTATTATATCCAGCTAATGAAGATATTATAAGGTATGTAATAAAAAAAATCAAGAACGTACTTTAACAAAAACAAGACAAAAACGATATTGCTCTAACAAGCAAAGAAGTATTGCATTTATAATATATATATATACATATGACAACTGCAACAGTTTATCATCCTTAAAACTGTACATTTGTTTGTAATTGAAAATTACATTGAATTAAGTGTTGATCTATTATTATAAACTATGTTGAAATTCTTCATCCTAAATTTGTTTTATCAGGAAAGCTAGTTGAAACTTTTATTGGAATTTAGTGTTAATTGCAACAGTTTTGAAACTGTTGATCCCAATAATTTCCATTGCGAAGTTTAAGGGTAGCAGTACAGATATTCTTTTTTTCGCATCTATATCTCCATCCAGTAATGATCCTACCCCAACCGGTGTACCTTTCAACTTCAGTACAATCCCTTGAGGCATTCTGAAAAAAAATGTATATTATTGAATGTGATTTAGGATGATTATGATTTTTAGACAAAAATTGAGGTTAAATTGTCAGTTGTTTTGATCTTTCGGTTCCAGCTTAAAAATACCCCCAAGCTATAAAGTAATTATATAACTGTATACAGAATTGATTCAACAGAAACAAAAACTAGACTAAAAACAGGTTACATATTCTTCGGAAGCGTCTTTTGTTTGTTGGTACAAAGCAGTCAATAATGGTGTCGTTATTTGACGTAAATACTGTACCCAGATACCGAAAACTGAGATTACACGTTATATTACGTTCATACCTACTACGCCTTGTGAAAAAAGATTGTAAACGAACACCACAATGTTCCTACTATATAACAGTGCAAATTTTGTTCCTTCCATACCTGCATCCAGTAAATGAATGAATGAAATCTACTACAAGGTACTGTCGATGATATTAGAGCCAAAAAAGGCATGATTTCATAATAGCAGATTAAGTAAGTACTTTAATATAAATAAGAAGATGTGGTATGAGTGCCAAAGAGACAACTATCCATCCAAGTCACAATGTGTAAAAAGTAAACAATTATAGGTCAAAGTACGGCCTTCAACACGGAGCCTTGGCTCACACCAAACAGCAAGCTATAAAAGGGCCCCAAAAAGACTAGTGTAAAACAATTCAAACAGGAAAACCAACGGTCTAATCTATATAAAAAACGAGAAACGAGAAACACTTATGAACCACACCAACAAACGAAAACCACTGAACAACAGACTTTAAGCATACTATTAGCAACTGTGAGCATTCTTTGAAATGATACTTTCACCTGCACCTGTTTTTTTTTGTTTTTTTTTTATTGTTGTCTTAGATTTAAGTGCTTTTTCTAAGCCTGTCATTTCTGTATTGTTATTCTGCATACTTTTCTTATTCTACTGTTCTATGTCATCGCACGGTCTTCAAAATTGATAAACCCCATCTCGTATATTCAGCATGAAAAGGCACCGACATGAAAAATGTGAAACAATTCAAACTAGAAATTATTTGGATGTTGAAGACAGATATTTGATATTCTTTTTAATATTTATTCTCTTCTTTTTAGACTCGAGGATGATTCATATTTTGACATACTTGTATTAAATAGACACTCGTCTATTGTTGAAAACCACATGCTGACTTGCAGATTGTAGAACAAATGACAAATGATATCCATCCATGACACAAAATCAGTACATTAACAGCAAAAATACACAAAAAGCAAAGGAATATTTTGTCTTTATATTTTTTGGTCGTTGGGTTGCTGTCTATTGACGTTCACCAATATCTCCTCTTGTTTATTTTTATTTTTATTTATCTTTATTTGTTTGTACTTACAGAGCCATCCCAAGTTACTATGGTAGACGTTGCATATCCCATCTGGACATAATAAAAGACAGGATTTCTTCCATTGCATGAATGACTTATGATTTCTAATCTTGTAACAGCAGGAGCTGGTCCACCTTCAGTTGCATGCCATAAAGACATCGAAAGAATAAGAATTGCTACTAATTCCTACAAAAAAATTGACCAATATCAGATCCAGTCTGAATCGTGCAATATTTGCCAAAAAATGATATGAATGGAAGTTTTCAATATCCTAGCATCTCTAAAGGAAATCGAATCGATTCAGACAGTTTGATTAGACAAGGATTGGATAATGTATATATATATATAAATAATGGTCTTCCAAATACCGTTTCGATTCCTAACATCACTGAAGAGACATTAATTGTCGAAATCTGGATATGGTGTACTAATTTTTGCACCTTTTGTTTGCGGTATACCATCTTTTCCGCAAGTTTATTGTTTCCTGTTTGGTATTAAATTAATAGTTAAGATCCATTTTGTTACATCTGGTGATCCGTTTATTTGGCAATCGCCAATGGTAGTCAGCAGGGTTTAAGAACATCCATTGTTCGACCTGCTAGTCAAATGCGTTTTGTTAAAATATACTTTTTCACTTTTTTGGTCTTTTGGAAAATGTTGTTTGTGCTGTATTTAGACCCCTCTACCAAGAAATTTGTTTTGCATGCACACGTATAAAAATTACGGTTTTTATCCAACGCAATCATAGGTTTGAACGTTGTTTTCAATTTAGACTTGTTTATATTTTTTCGTTTGGGCTCGTATTATATTTTCCTTCGGGCTTATATGATCCGTTCATCCTATTTCGACTCTTCAAAATTCAAGAGTCTATCCGAAATTGAGGTAAATTATATTGTCTTCCAAATACCGTTTCGATTCCTAACATCACTGAAGAGACATTAATTGTCGAAATCCGGATATGATGTACTAATTTTTGCACCTTTTGTTTGCGGAATACCATCTTTTCCGCAAGTTTATTGTCTCCTGTTTGGTATTAAATTAAATAGTTAAGATCCATTTAGTTACATCTGGTGATCCGTTTATTTGGCAATCGCCAATGGCAGTCAGCAGGGTCTAAGAACATCCGTTGTTCGACCTGCTAGTCAAATGCGTTTTGTTAAAATATACTTTTTCACTTTTTTGGTCTTTTGGAAAATGTTGTTTGTGCTGTATTTAGACCCCTCTACCAAGAAATTTGTTTTGCATGCACACGTATAAAAATTGCGGTTTTTATCCAACGCAATCATAGGTTTGAACGTTGTTTTCAATTTAGACTTGTTAATATAAATAATAATATATCATAATGCATATAATTTCAATGTTTTGGAAATAGAGGAATATTATATACATGTAGATAGGATAAGAAAAAAAAACTTTGTTCGTCTGCATAAAGCACATCAACCGATCCCTGAAACAAAGTTACAGCAGGGAGCGTTAGTATTCATAGCTCGAACTCACCAGGTTCTAACGACCAGTAATGTCGTCGTAGGTCAAAGTTCTCGATAGCGAAAAAAACCCTGATAAGAATCTTTTAAGACTTTAACTAGAAATCGTTTTACTTTAGAGTAGCTCTTTATCTTAACTTTGTTTGTAAATTCTTACTCTAAGTACTCTAACTCATTTTCCGACATGTCCGTCAACGTTATCATTCTTTGATTTAGTCAAGCCATTAATAATTAAGTCACAATCTCTCGAGCGTTTTCGATCTTTCATACTGCCACTTCTTTATAAAGCCAGATAATTTTCATAACCCGGATTTTTTTAACAGAGTAACATACTGTAGTTTCCCGCGAGGGCTAGCAAATTGTAAGATTGTGGAAGAAAAAGCACTGATAAGAAGACAATTTTAAGGTGAAGGAATTTTCACGACAAAGCTATGTTTTAACTTAAAGTTTAAGTTGAGTTGGGAAAATTTGTAAAAATATTAAGTGTATAATTTTGGTTTTTAATTGCAGAATTTCACTACGTTCCATCAATTTTCCAAAATTTACCTCGCGGCGTATACAGATACACTTTCAAAAATAACTTTGACGTTTCGCGCGAGATTAAAAAAAAACTAAAGACAACTATTATCTATTCACTGTTCTCTATTCTAATTAGTGATCTGCAAAAAGTCTCAATGAACCCTTAGAAAAAGAAGTTATTTATGAAAATTTACACAAGACAACAATACTAGTAAAATACTAGGAAACAACAAGTTTTCCAAAGGAAAAAAACGTTTTAAATGATGTTCTTCATCTTGACAATATTGCTAAAGATATTCAAGATTTTACAACTTACAGCAGAATTAAAGCCCTTCAGCTTAATTAATGTCTTCTAAGTAAGCGACAGAAATCAATAGATAACTTAAAGGATGAGAACTACTATAAAGTCCCCACTCTCTGACTGACAAAGAACTTTATAATAATAGCATCTGTTAAAACCCCTTAATCACAGGACGTTGTGTCGACTTTTGTAAGAACACCATAATTTCAATTTATTTTTCATGACTACATTAATGATATATATTAAAGACATGCATGCATTAAATCATGATTTCCATATATTTGAGATGTGAATATTGTCAGGTTCGTGAAAATAAAAGGAAATACGTTACCAAGTTGAAAAAATTCATCTTTTAAATGAATCTGAAATGAAATTTTAAAACATTTAAGAATTAAAGATAAATACCACTTGAATTTTAAACCATTCGAAGTTTAATCACCACCAATTAATGCTTTTGTTTTTCGTTTTACAAACATATTCAATTTAAAAAGTTTTCAATTAAAACAGTAATTGACTGTGTGTGTACATGTATGTCAGGGGCGGATCCAGAATTTAAAAAGGGCTGGGGGGGGGGGGGCGTAATTCCTGAAAACAGAAGATACATTTTTTGGACGATTTTATGTTAAAAGAAATATACATTTTCCAATCAAAAAGTGGGGTGTTCGCTCTCTACGCCCCTCCACTGTTTTTGTGTGTTTTAATGTTGGGCGTATGGTAAGGGCGACGGTGTGTGTTAAAAGTTTTTCCGCTGCGAAAAGCGAAAACCTAGCGCTATCATCCTTTTCGAAACTTGAAAATATAGTTAAAGTATGTCTTCCCTTATAATCGCTGCGGTAAGGTACTTTTCGTTAATGCAGTACAAACACCAATCAATCCACGTATGTACAATTATAGCTACTTCAAATATAATAATTCAATCAAATAAAAAATTTAAAACAACGTTTGCTTGTAAAACCAAATAACTGTCTTAGTATAATCATAAATGTATAAAAGATAAAGACAAAACATTAACTGTACCTTGCCTCTGAGATTTATCGAAGTGCACTGAATACCTCGGTTAAATATTTTTAAAGAAAATTTGTTTCATTTTTAGCTTTTTAACTGTGAAAGGAAACCACAAGATCCTGTTGTTGTTTTTTTGTTTTTATCTATTTGTAATTATCTGTTTTATCGAATGTTATCACGTGTTCTTTAATAATGAATATGATCTCAAATTTAAACAAACAGATTTTTGTCTGGTAAGACGTTAAACAGATGTTTGAACTAAATATACAAGATCATACAAGATAAATCGATATTATCAACCCTGCCTTATTTTGGATTATAAAAATTTATTTCAGCCTCAAAATTATGTTTTTATACCAAAATATAGAATAAAGCCCTTTAATACAAATACGAATGATAATACCAAATAAAATGCAAACATGTTATCTACATAATAATTATCCTAGGATACACAAAAGCCTTTACATACATCTTAATGTCCTTTTCAGTATATATACACTTGTGGTTTATTTGAATGTGACGTTGTCGTTTCAAAACAAACATTTCAAGGTGTATTTAATATAATTGCAATACCAATGAAAAATACATGTATACGTTATCGACCTTGTTTTTAACTACAGGTTGTGCAAATTCTTATTTCTATTGGGCGAAAACACAATTATGTAAACAAAAGAGATAACGGCATGATTGATATCTGCAATAAATCGAAGAGAAAATATAGCTCTTTAAACACTTGAAATACCTTCACCGTTCTCGTTTCGTTCTTCTAACTACACGACAAAAATAGGGTAAACATTTGATTATATGATATCATTTAACAAGAAGAAACAAATAATATACATTGAACTAGAGAAGGACAGGAAGAGTATAGTTTCCTTTTTCACTTTACTTGTCAGACTAAGTATGTTTACTTCGTAATCAAATTACAACTTGTAACAAACGATTGACTGATTGATTATTCGGTGTTTAACGCACCTTACAGCACTGATGGCTATTTCGTGGTGGTAATTTTTTATTGGTAGAGGAAATCGGTGTGTCCGGAGATCCACCAACCTTCGGCAAGAAAACTGACAATCCTAGTCAATTTAGATTGGAGTCGAACGCACGTTACATACGCCATTTCCTTTAAATCTTTGCCATAAACGCAGTATGGACAGCCTTTATATGTAAAAAGCAACATACACAATGCATTCTGGATATCAAACCTCGTCAGTTTTTGTGTTTTGTGTTGTTTTCGTGTCTCTGTTTACTTTTTTGTTTCTATGAACTGAAATATAATCAGATGTTTGTTTCCTGCTTTATCAAACCCTCCATTTACACCTTGTCTCTAAAATAACTATAGGATTTTCGAAAATTATACGATTTGTGTGGCCATCTAATTTAATTAAGATGTAAAATATCTTGGTACCACTCTAAAAATCTAAAATCTGCTATGCATGCTATCACACGCCATAAGAATCACACTCAGTCAACATGTCTTAATAGGGAAAAGGATAAAATCGATAATTCTACAGATCAAACGACATTTCTGGTATCTAAATATTCAAGACCATCAGTGTGGGTTATTGAGTGACAGGACATCATCAATATATCTGAAAGTAAACTTGGCGAAAAGATTTTTTCTTTTTTTCTTTGAAAAGGTTTGTATGAATAAACATTTATGCTTCATATGAGTATAAAACCAGTAGATTTGCACTATTAGTATCGATTTGATTACTGACTGTTTGCTGAAATATCAATCCACCAAACTGAACAAATGTGTCGATCAAAGAAGTCCATTATTTGGACGCTATCTTCTTCGGTGTATTTATCGGTAGAATCAATGTGGTTTTCCGCAAACTGATTTTTTTCATGACCTTGAACAAGAAATTGATTTTTCATGACCTTGAACAAGAAATTGATTTTGTTCATGACCTTGAACAAGAAATTTGTAATGTATGATTCCCATTTTTATAGAAAAGGCATTATTGCTAAATGAGAGGTTGTAGATGCAGTATATCTTCAAGTTGAGCATGAGGAATAGAAGTATAGAGCGTTGAAAAATCTACTTTTAATATCATTGAAAATTGTTAGTATTGTGATTGAAGCTTTTGTGTAGATCTTTAGACTTTTTAAGAATTTTAAACATTTGATCGACACCGCTGGTTGAGTAAATAGATTGTTAACAATTTAGAATTTGTTTTTTTACTAACGGGATGCCATATCATGATTATTGACACTTGTACATTTGTCATTCTAAACCGATAACTTAAACTAGACTTAAACCTAACATTAAATGACATAGTTTCTGTTAAAAATGAAAAATGTCGTGAATTGGAATTATTTTTCTTGCCTGAATATAATACCGAGACAACAGATAATGTCAGAGAAAAATATGGAAACGGATCCTACACCTCAATGAACAGTTATCTGTGCCAGTGTTGTATTTAGATTGTAAATAAGGTGTGTATAAAGTACAGATGTTCCTCTTACTGGACAGACATACGAGACAACTTCAATGTATGATTGCTATGTAAAGTTTATATCAAATTATTTAAATTGATTCGGTTTGATAGTATATCGTTTCTCCAAATATAGTCAAAAGATATAATGTAGTTTCAGTTTAAATCTGTACTATTTGGTCAAAAGGAAATCTATATTCTAATATATAATAGTTTGAAATAAAAACAAACGTAATCAATTTCAATGTACAAATGACAAGATTATACTTTGATGTTTTACTTAAATACTGTTGATGTTATGACATGTTATGACATCGAAATCACAGAAAATTGTGTATACGTCAACGAGACAACAACCCAACACTATAACAAAACAAAAGACCCTTAGAGTTCAACACAAGAGTGCACACGCTGAAATGTCTCGCGTACTATACCGACCATTGTTTTTATGTTGATAGTCTTAAATATAAAGTTTTACTACAAGTATCACACTAACATTTAGGTTCCAAGAAAATGAGGTCAAGGCCAGATAAACCAAGCCGGAAATACATGTACACCTTTAATACAATCATTCCATACAGGGAATATAGATGACCTATTGCTTATAGTATGAAGAAACAGACCAAACCATGGAAATTTTATATTGACCAATGAACCATGAAAATGAGGCCAAGGTCAGACGATACCTGCCAGATAGACATGTACACCTTAAAATCATTCCATGCATCAAATATAGTTGACCTATTCCTTATAGTATCCAAGAAACAAAGTTAGCAAGGAAAACTGATCATTGACCAATGAACCATGAAAATGAGGTGAAGGTCAGATGATACCTGCCAGACAGACATAAACGCCTTACAATCATTCCATACACCAAATATAGTTGACCTATTGCTTAAAGTTTAAGAAAACAGACCCAAACACAAAAACTTAACTTTAACCACTGGACCATGAAAATGAGGTCAAGGTCAAATGACACCTGCCAGTTGGACATGTACACCTTACAATCATTACATACACCAAATATAGTAGACTTATTGCTTATAGTATCTGAGATATGGACTTGACCACGAAAACTTAACCTTGTTCAATGATCCATAAAATGAGGTCGAGGTCAAGTGAACACTGTCTGACAGGCATGAGGACCTTGCAAGGTACGCATATACCAAATATAGTTATCCTATTACTCATAATAAGAGAGAAATTAACATTACAAAAAACGTTAACTTTTTTTTCAAGTAGTCACTGAACCATGAAAATGAGGTCAAGGACAATGCACATATGACAGACGGAAACTTCATATCATAAGGCATCTATATACGAAGTATGAAACATCCAGGTCGTCTACCTTTTGAAATATTAAGCTTTTAAGAAGTTAGTTAACGCCACCGCCGCCGCCGCCGCCGGATCACTATTCCTATGTCGAGCTTTCTGTGACAGAAGTCGCAGGCTCGACAAAAACGGTGTTCAATGATGGACAGATATCTTCAAAATATGCATATCTTCAAGTAGTTTTATCTCTATCAAGTTTGCTTACTTATTTTAGATTCGGAAATATTTTTCATTGAATTGAGAATCTCTGAAAAGACATTACTTGTCGAAATATGCACATGTAGCTGATGCATCAAAATTGGTACTTTTGAATAAGATGGGAGTCTTGAGTTCGTGTATTAGTTAAATATTTGGCATATAAAGCAACATCGGCCGTTCTTATTATCATTCTTATTCGGGCTTCACAGAAATTACGTAATCAGTGTATTTGATTTTTTTTGTGTCATTTTTGAAGGCCGTATGGTAACCTATAGTTGTTTATATCCAGGCATCCATGGCCTTTGGTGTTAAGGGCATATATGTATCATTGACAAAATTACCACTATACATGTTAAATCTCTCGAACATGATGATTCTATAATCAAATCCTTTAAAAGGGAGACACTTCGTTTTTGACTGTTTCTTTTTTGCTCAATTTATTCATATTTTATATAAAAATCGTCTTTATAAACATAGGAGTTGTGGTGTTATTGTCAATGAGACAACTATCCATCAGAGATCAAATGTTGTGACCCGATGCAAGCAACTGAAGGTCAGCGTACGATCTTCAAAAATTAGCAAACCCGTACCGTATTTTAAGCTTGAAGAGGCCCAGAATGACAAAATGTGAAATAATTCAAACTAAACAAAAACAAACAAAACTGCCAGATTTATGCTAAAACAGTTAACGAAAAACAAATATGACAGACAGAAACCAGCGACAACGAATGAATTACAATCTCATAATAATGTTGCTGCACTCACTTCAAATCATATGAAACGAGTTTCTTGGGGATATAATGTTAAGGAAATCATTGAACTATTACATGCATGTATATGTTGTGATGTTACACTATTGTTTCAGGTAGGGTGAAGGTTGGCGCCTATTAAAACGTTTAAACCCGCTGCATTTGTTTGCAACTGTCTTAAGTCAGGAACCTGATGTTCAGTGGTTGTCGTTTATTGATGTGGTTCATAAGTGTTTCTCGTTTCTCGTTTTTTATATAGATTAGACCGTTGGATTTCCTTTATAGCTCGCTGTTCGGTGTGAGCCAAGGTCCGTGTTGAAGGCCGTACTTTGACCTATAATGGTTTACTTTTACAAATTGTGACTTGGATGGAGAGTTGTCTCATTTGCACACATACCACACCTTCTTATATCTATGTATACTAAAC